AATATCAATATTACATATATTAAAGATTAGCAACGCATAATGCAAAGACAAAAAATAAAAATGCTGCTTTCAATAGGATGCGAACAATTCATCCAACTCTTCTTATAAAAGTTGCATCGAATTGGATTGTGATGCTTGCAATGTTTGCTCAGATTCAGAGTTATAACTTGGAGTGGTTGGTTATGATTTTTCTCCATCTTTCTCTAACTCATTGTTCATTAATGCTTCAGCAGATTCGTAGAAGAGGCCTCCTTCATTGAAATCATTCTACAATGCAAAACCCAATGCAAACCCATTAATATTGAAACAATATAAAGTGATATAAAGCAATATATAATTAAATACTTACCAAATACTTCACTATATGGCATTTCATACTATTTACTGTATATATGATCTTACACGATCATGAATTCAACAATATATCGCACACAGCTAATGTAAATGCATAGTGTTTATTTGATAAATCAGGTACTGCAATCATGAAGAAAGCAGTCCTTGCGATAACCACTACCCAATACACACCATCATCATTTTGCTGGAATAGGGGGTGAAAACAAGCAGCAACCTGATCACTCTGCTTCCACTTCATAATTTCTGCTACAGCAGCATTGCTTTTTAGAAGGGGGAGCTTTTTATATCCAAAAACCTTCCAAATAAAATTTCGAACATTTTGTAGTGCCGCACAATAGTGATTTTTCATTTTCTGTAATAACTAGTAAATGAAATAAGACAAAAAAGTTAATTAACCTATTAAAAAAAATTAACGATTACAAGGGATAATGAACGCAAAACAACAAATAAATAATAAATAAATAAAAACATATAAATTAACGATAACAAAAATGATAATATTCAACATACAGCACTACACCATTCATCATGGAAATGATTTGTGAAATCATTTGCACTTATTTTGGACATGTAATCCAGATATACTTCATTCAGGTAGTCCTTCATAGCTTCCTTAAGTGTACTTTGCGAGGGATATATGTGGTGCAGAAAGAGACACTTTATTACATTTGTATATATATTCTAAATTTTAAGACATCAGCTTAGGTGTACCTTTAAAACTTATAATTAGACTAAAGCACTTACTTCTAACACTTGAGAAGAAAGATCATTTGTGCACTCTCTCCTTTGTCATTGCAATTCAGCTTTGATGTCCCTTACATCATTACGAAGTTTCTGGACTAGGATGTACAGAATGCAATTTTGGATGAAAAGCTGTTCGTCAACAGTGCAGCAGCTACTACATGTACATTCTTCAATTCAAAAGATTTGTTTAAAAAAAAAAAACTTTTATAAGAAAGAAAAAAAAAACTTTCATAAGAAAGAAAAAAAAAAATTTTAATAAAAAAGAAAAAAAAAGTACAAAAGTAAGGCATTCAAAAGTAAAAAAAAAAAAAAAGACTTATATATAGAATTACCATCCAAATTTCATGGCTGATTTTGATTGGCTGATTGTCTTTCTTGTGATCTGTCTCATAATCTACGAGAACAGCACTGTGGCGATAAGGAATGATCTCTATCGTTATTTAAGGATGTTTGTCTAGAATAAGAGGGCTGATGGGAAGGCTGGACCAATTGTAATAGTTGGCAGAAAGGTTGGTGTGATTCTGAATGAAGTGTTGAGAACCTTTGTGATCGAGTTTTCATTTTAGAAAAAGTATTATGAATGCTATAAACACTTTTTGCTATATCTGAAGAATCATCAGAGAAATTATTGTTAGTAGCTGCTGTTTTAGTATTAAATGATTGGGAGCAAGGGTTATTAGGTGGTGAAGCATTATTTGGTGATGAAGCATTATTTGATGGTGAAGTGTTATTTGGTGGTGAAGCATTATTGGGTGGTAAAGCATTATTGGGTGGTGAAACGTTATTGAGTAGTGAAGCGTTATTGGGTAGTGAAGCATTATTAGGTAGTAAAGCGTTATTGAGTGGTAAAGCATTATTGGGTGGTAAAGCGTTATTGGGTAGTGAAGTGTTATTGGGTGGTGAAGTGTTTTTTGGGAACTCATTTCCAAAAAAAAAAAAAAATTCCAAAAATGTTTTACCTTCAACTTTGGATGTCTAACATTGGAAATCTTCTGTATTTATATATTTGCAACCTTTTATAAAATTAAAATCTAATGCAATATAATGATAAAGTATGTAAAGTATGTAAAGTATAACAAATGAAACAAGTATACTTATCTTATTTTTTTGTTATTATATTTTATGACTATATACTGAGATATCTCACATATCTGAGATTTTTCACGTCATTACATTTCTTTTGTATTTTTGTAATTACAAAAGAATATATATGTCAATATAATATGAGTGCCATCAGTAACCTTACGTCAATATAATATGAATACTGCCAAGGATAACCAGTAACCTGGGTTTCAATTTAATAGTTACTGGTCATAATCTTTAACAACTTGTTAAAAATTATGGCTAGTAACCATTAAATTGAAACCCAGGTTACTGGTTTCCTTTGGCGGCACTTATATTAAAGATAAATTTATGCTATTATATAATGCATAATATAAACTAGACTTTTGCATATGTTGTTGCATCAAGCATGATATAACGCTCATGTTAAGTATCTTTGCAGTATACTTTAATAAAATAAAAATTCAATATATATCAATATATATTAATAAGTTTCATTTAAAAGATTTAATTGCTTACTATCTTATCCTAACATTTACAATCGATAGATTGATTCTAGTTGTTCCTTTTTGTTTTCCAATTGAAATCATTATTATTGCATTTAATTTTTTTTATTTTTTTCTTCCAAAATATGTTGGCAGTATGAGCATTGTAATCATAATTTTACAAAATCTTACACATTAACTCAACATATTTCACAAAGACATCTATATTTTCAAGATTCCACAAATCAAATAGTTAATATTGAACAAATAGATGATAATATTTGGAATCTTTCAGAATATGATTCTAATTATAAACATTCTACAGATTATGAGGTATATCGATATACTTACATATAATTATCTAATAATATTTATTATTATTATTATTAT